GTCTCATATTTGCCCCAACAACTTGTTAGGTACTCAAGCTTACCCTGTCAGCAGTAGACTGTTCCATGTGGTGGCAAAACATTGCTTATGCAACAGACTTCGAAACCCGACCTTCAACGAGTGTATGCGATGTATTCCCTCGACGCGACAAAAGAAGTTTGCCCACGAATTTTAAAAGTTTTTGTTGTGAAAATTGTAAAATTATACTTCGGATGAAATAATTCATGTTTATTTTCATAATAATATTTGAATCAATATTGTTTTAGATGGAACAATATAAGGATGTTATTATGCAACTCTTTCGCCTAAATAAACTGATGTTAAGTGGTCTCATTTTTACCCAAAATATTAGGTGTTTCATATTTACACCACTTGATCCTATCTCCATAGAGACCTGAAGATGCCAACGGTCGAAAAAGAAATAAAGAAGTTTGCTACGAAACAAGATGGTTGACTCCACTTATAGGTTAATGAAGAAGCGCTGCAATTATTGGGCAACTCTACACTTAACAGAAGGCTCAAAAGGTAAAAGCCATTTGAGCTAGTGCAGTGAATGTTATTGCTAGTATAAAACAGCGTAATAAATCGTTACGCCAACTTGTACTGCTTTTCTATAGAAATACTCATAATTAGATAACGAATTAGTTTATAAGATTTTTAGATTAAAATTGTAGGTTTGTTTAAAAATGGTTTTGTTAATTTCTTGTTTCCATTTATTTTAGATCATGTTTATATTTTACCTTAGGTGTTCCGTATCGTTCCAATGTTGGTCTTTACTCTTTTCACTTCATATTATCGATTTAGATATGACATTATAATTTAAATGAACTATTATAAAATGTTATTTAATTATTTCCAACTTTAATGATTGTGTCCAGCTTTAAAATAACTTTTTATTTAGAGTATTAACATATTATTTTCGCAGGAAGAATTATTGAATTTTGCAACGTTCAAAATTTATTTAGTTAATTTGGATGCTGAAACTTTCTAAACTATTAAATTGTTAAACTCTTTAAAATTAATTTAAATCCAGTGGCCTGCTTGCCGCTATAGTTCGTTTTAGTTTGTGGCTTTGTTATAAACTGAGAATTTCCGCTCAGATGATTGCTTAGAAAATTTAAAAGAGAACAAAAATGAATTGCTACTGACATTTTAAACGCTGAAATTACATTTTACAATAATATATCTCGTAATATGTAATAGTCGCGCTTCACGGAGAAAATATCACTTCATTTACTAACAGGTGTCACCTATTGGTTTTAAATTGTTTTGTTTTATAGTGAAAATTAGAAATAAAGAGATTAATGAAAAAAATCATTTGAGGTATTAATTTTAAAACTTAAAACTTTGAAAAACCTATGGAAGAAGCAAACTTCAACATGAAGAAAACCAAGAAAACTAAGTTCTTCTACCAGCCTCAAAGACACAAGTTCGACAAAATCCAAATTCATACCCAAGAAGCATCAACGATTTAAAACCAAGTCGAAGCTCGTATCAAGTGAATTCGGCAACCATACAACCAAAGGACTTCTGCTGGATTAAAGTTCTCCATACTCAAGACTATACACTCAAACCTAAACAATCAAGAACTTTCGCTTAATTGAAGTTCTCCATACTTAGACCCAAGAAGCATCAAGAACTCTAGATATAATGTAGTTCCAAACAATCGACTTTTAAACACTTTTCCATCTCAGAAAAAACATTCACCAAGGTACTAGGCAAAAAATAACCAAGGCAAAAAGGGAGGTTGGGGAAATGCGCAGGGGATGGGGACGAGGACGAGCCTTACTACGTTAATACCAACGACAAACAATTGCTAGACCAATTTTGTTTACCAAATTAAATATTAATTCTAAAACATAGGTAGGATTCCCCACTCGACTATTCACTGTTGGGTTCGAATTAACAGTGCTGTTCCTGAAGTGGCGCTGGGAAACAGTTACAAAGCCTACACCGAACAAACAAGATTAAGAATTTATACACTGAACTTAGGAATTTTTTTTTAGAAAGTGTTTTTTATAATTTCGGACCAAAATCGACAAGCTCGTCTAATAATTTCGTGCTTGTATTTTGTATTTTATTATGTAACAAAGGTAGGTACCTACCTATTTTATAGCAATTTTATGCGCACCCTAAATTTTAAAAACGGACTCTTTCCAACGCTACTATGAGCTTTGTCTGTGGATTTACAAACTATCTGTAGAGACGGCAATACCGAACCTAAAAGCTGGAACTAAATTCAAAATTCGCCAATTAAACACAATATTTATTGGTTTAGGCAACTAAACATACTTTTCGCGACTGGTACGCCATCTGGCATAGAAAATAAAAATTATGTAGATTTTTAAGCAATGTTCAATTTCAGAAAAAACTACTTACTTTTTTCAAAAATGGTAAACAGACAAGTTGTTCACTGGCAAATGAAGAATGGCGGGTGATAACATTTATACGTATATGACTTTTTACTTTCCTATCTGTATACAGATATAAGGAAAGTATAGGAATCATGATTTTTTTCGACCTCGAGTTTTCGATGGATTTTTACGTTTTGAGGTCCCCTGAATCCGTTTTGACTATTTTCGCGATGATGTCTGTGTGTGTGTGTGTGTGTGTGTGTGTGTGTGTGTGTGTGTGTGTGTGTGTGTGTGTGTGTGTGTCTGTGTGTCTGTGTGTGTGTGTGTGTGTGTGTGTGTGTGTGTGTGTGTGTGTCTGTATAACGCATAACTCATGAACCGATACACTGAAAAACACCAAATTTCAAACTTAAGCTTTATTCCAGCGTCTCATGAGCTGATTAGATTTTGGGCAGAGTCGGAACATGTGTGTTTTTATATTTTATGGAATATATCTGTTATTTACGTTTGGGGAAGAAAATTCTTCAAATAAAAGTTACTTCTTATATTAATATCTATAATTTTTGGTTTTTACAAAATTTTCCTAAAATGGTCCGTATTCGAGAAATTTGACAAAATGTAAAAAAATATTTTTTTATAAAAATTGTTCAAACAAAAGTTGTTTGTAGTATAATTTTCTATAATTTTTATCCCATACATAATTTCTCTAAAATGGACCATATTCGAGATATTTGAGAAAATGTGTAAATTTCGAAATTTGAAGAAAACTCAAAAACGGATAAAGAAAAAAACATTAAATTTTAAACTTAAGTTTTATTTCGGCCTGACGTGCAATAATTAGATTTTGGACAAAGTCGGAACATCTGGGGGGGTACTTTATGGGAGGCCGTTTTTATATTTTATGGAATATATCTGTTATTTATGTTTGGAGAAAAAAATTGTTCAAATAAAAGTTACTTCTAATATTATTATCTATAATTTTTGTTTTATGTAAACATTTCCTGAAATGGTCCGTATTCGAGAAATTTGACAAAATGTAAAAAAAAAATATTTTTTTTTTTAAAAGTTGTTTACCATATCGATCTCTATAATTTTTGTTTATACATGATTTTTCTAAAATGGACCGTAATGGAAAAATTGTAGGAAAAGTGCTAAATTTAAATTTTTCGGTATTTTTTCGTTTTCAATGAATATCTATAGAAAAATGTTTAGAGGTAGATGTATGTGGAAAATGTATATATTTAGTTTATCCTCCTCTAAACATTTATAGAGGTGCTGCAATAGGTTGTACAAAATAACCGGAAAAAGCCTGTAATAACTAGATAGGAAAGTCATGTGTTGGATACATCATATTTTTTTATATTTTTTTCATTTAATTTTTTTGTTTATAAAAAATAGTTATCATGCGCCAATCTACGATGCATAAGAAGCTCGGATAACAAAAAAAGATTTTCTTTTGGGGAGTATTAAGCCTGCAATTTGAACATTAACATTTCCAATATGTCGGACGGGTATAGAAGCCTCTTATCTTCATAAAATCTTCATATTTTTTCTGTGATATTTTGAATATTTTAAAATTATTAGTGAAATATAGCTCTTGAGTTACATGTATCCAAAAAATGTTTTTTTTTAATTGTTAGTTTAGACACCAAGTTCCGTGAATTACCCTATATAATTACTCTTAATTTCCTAGGCAACACGACAGCTTCCGCCGCCTATACATAGTACAACGTGTTCACCCCCGCCTCTACACCCAACTACAAATAGCGGGCGAAAAAAAATTGACGTGCCACTTTTTGCAGTCATCGAAAGGACAATAATATTAAAATATAATAATACATTTTTAATATTTTTATATAGGTAATATATCTAATTGATTCTTTAATAAACATTTTATCACAATCGCTCACACTTATTTTTAATTCTACAAAGTTTTTAATTTCGAATTTGCTTTAATTCCTGAAGACACAATGATTTGTATTTCTTATATAATTATTGTGGCATGCTTGGCTCAAAAACAAGCCTAAAAATGTTTAGTTTTTGATTAAAATGAGCATGAATTTCTCTCTGTGTAAAGAAATACAAAAAATCCTAAAATTTCAACACCCTGTAGATCAGTAACGAAGCGTTTGAGGACCTATATTCATAGGACTTTCTAGTCATGAAATAAGCCAGAGAATTACCTCCTTCTATATGTACATGATATGTCAAAGCACCCTGTATATGTATCATCATACTAGCATTAATTGAGGTGCGATTTTTGACATTTATAAAATTATATTTATTTCTTTTTTTAAGAACGTAGGAAATCTGTGCTTTTTTGTCTTTGCTAAAAATATTATGTGATGAATCTCCTACAATTTAACTGCATATTCTATTATTACTAATACTGCCGTATTAACTCAAATGACCGTAACTACAATTTTCCTTGAAATAAAGATATGACCACAACGCATGACAACAATGAATTTTTTGTTTATCTCTATAATTTTCATGGATGTATACAACCCGAGATTTAACGATTAGAAATTTGGGCATAAGTGATTTTTCTTGAAAAATCGGTTTTTTTCACGTTTGAGTATTAAACAGATATGGCCATTTGAATTAACACGGCAGAATACTGGAATATATTTTTATTATACTAACCTTGCGTGAAAATCATTATAATGAACTACAGATAGTTCAAATGGCTTAGTCTGTCTTTTCCGAGGAGGACAGCCTGCACAAATGCCAACGGAAACGAGAAAAAAAATCGCTAAAGCGTACTTAAATTGCGACATGATCACGATTCGAAACGCGATTGTTTTATCACTCAGGTATCAATAAATCATAATATATTTATATCAAATTAAATTATATGCTAAACTTCCAAAATCTAGATAATTGAATCTCAACAATGCCAGTCATGATAAGCGGGTAGTAACGAACTGATTTAATTATTTTCAATATATTATGAACGATTTAAGTAGCAGTCTCAGTGAAGTAAACAGAAATTAAGAGGATGCGTACAAGTTGTTTTTCCTGTTATAGCGTTTTAATTTACAGCATAGGAATTCAAATTTAAATGTAAACGCAATATTTATGCAAATTTTAATTTTTGCATATAATTTATGTTGTTTTGAAAATTTTAAAATACACAATATTGTTTTTTTCTCGGTATCCTCAGTGATCAATAGCCTCTTGTACTGCATAGACTTTGAGACTATCTTTCAAAGTTACAATAAATGTAAGCGAGCTAATTTTCCAAATTTATATAGTGCCATAGAAACCCACGGTTGGTAGTTTTTAGATTCTATTAGCAACGTTAATGTAGCTTGTTTGTTCTACGTTCTAAAAAACGTACACATGCCTATTCAACTTATTATAAATTAAAAAAAATTAAAAAAGTATTGCCATAAGAAAATATAATAAAAGTACCGATTCGTTTTATTTGAAACATTTAAGCAAATAAGTCAAAAGTCTTACTAGGAGTGCTTATTATGTATTTACATCTCTAATGTTGAAAACGCTGTCTCTGGAGAGCCTATAGAATTTTAAAAATAAGTTCAAACTAAAAAAGGTAAATTAAATTATATACAAAGAAGTTTCTTACGACACTATTAAAATATAGTAGATGGATTCTGTGAGTACCGTAACGTATTTTTCATGTAGAAAATACAAGTTACACTATACTACGGTTTTTAACCATTCACTGTTGGGTTCTAATTATCAGTGCTGTTCCTAAAGTGGCGCTGGAAATCAGTAACAAATCCTACACAGAACACGAGGCTAATAACCTTAGTAGTTGATGCCGATGACACAAAAAAAATATGAATTTTTACCTATTTATAAAATATAACAATTTTAAAAATATTTTTTTCGATTTTTCGATTTTTCGATTTTTCGATTTTTCGATTTTTCGATTTTTCGATTTTTCGATTTTTTAATTTTTTTGATTTTTTGATTTTTCGATTTTTCGATTTTTTGATTTTTTGATTTTTCGATTTTTCAATTTTAATAAATAAATAATAAATAAATTCTTTATTGCCTAACAGATATAAAATCCAAAGATAGGACAAAAGATAACATAAATATTTTTTTAAGAGTAAATATTGATAAGTACTAAGATAAATAATAATAACAAAATACATATATAAAGCTAATAAAACTAAAAAAAAAACAAATCAAAATTAAAATTAAAAATTGAGATTGACTATGAGCAAAAAATATATCACAATTTAAACATAAAATATTAACATTTTGGCACATAATATATATTGGTGATTTCATTAGCAGGTTAGTCCTGGGAAAAGGAAGAGAAAACGTGTTGGATGTCCCTGCAGTTTGTCGTCTTACTAAAAAGTAAAGTCCTTCGAGTAGAATAGAACAATCAATTATATTATGAAGTATTTTATAAATTGTAGAAATTGACATTAATTTTCTTCTATTTTCAAGGGATTGCACATTATTACGCAACACATTTTCATCAAATCCGTGGGGGGATAGATACCCCTAACCTTGTAATTTAAAAATTTTAAAAATTTGCGTTGCACCCTTTCAATTCTGTTCTTCTGCAACTCTGTCTTCGGATACCAAATCAAAGAAGCATATTCCAACTTGGAACGAACTAATGAAAAGTACAGTGACTTTAAGGCAGCTTCAGTTCTAAACTTTTGACAATTTCGAAATAAAAATCCTAACATTTTATTGGCAGATTTAGTAATAGTATTAACACGTACACTAAAAGTTTGCTCCGAATCAAATATAACACCTAGATCTTTGGTTTGATCACACCTGACTAGTTCTTCATTATTAATGGTATAATTAAAATTTGTTGTGTTGACTTTTCTGCTAAAACTTATAGCTTGGCATTTTCGTATGTTGAAAAACAATTTATTGCGCATACACCAATCATATAAATTATTTAATTGTTCTTGAAGGAATAAACAATCATGTATATTAGAAATTTCAAGAAATACTTTTAAATCATCTGCAAATAACAATTTGGAACAAGCGATATAATCAGTGACATCATTGATGAAATACAAGAAAAGTAGAGGACCCATATTGGACCCTTGAGGAACTCCTGAGGTAGCATAGAATAAATTTGATGAAAATCCATTATAAGAAACAAATTGTTGTCGACAAGATAAGTATGAGAGGAAGAATGTTTTCATTGCTGATGAAAATCCAAATTGACCTAACTTGTTAACAATTACTTTTGGGTCGATTTTATCAAAAGCTTTTTCGAAATCTGTTAAAACTACATCTACTTGACCACAATTATCTAAAGTGTCATGCAAAAACTAAAAAAAAGAAGATAAATTAGAAACAGTGGAACGATTTTCCATAAAACCATGCTGATGTACCGATATTAAACATTTAGTTAGAGGGTAAATTTTATTATAAATGCAAATTTCGAAAAGCTTAGCAAAATTATTTAAAACTGAAATAAGGCGATAATTATTAAATAGAGATGGGTCTCCTGACTTGAGAATTGGATATACACGTGCGATTTTAAATTTATCTGGAAACATACAAGTTTTTAATGACATATTAAAAATAAACTTAAGGGGTTTTATAAAAATATTTCTACAATCTTTAATTAGGATCGTATCAGATACTGATGCAAACGCACTACTAAAGTACTCAGCAAATCCAGCTACTATGTTTTGAGGAGTGTCGTAAGAAACTCCTTCGTTGAATAGAATTCCCGGTATTCTAGATTTAGCTTTTTTAGTTTTAATATATTTCCAAAATTCTTTAGGCTCACTAGAGACGGAGTTTTCAACTTTAGAGATGTAGATATCTTATGCAACCCTAGTGAGTCTTTCGACTTCTTTTCTTAAATTTTTAAATCGATTTTAATAAAATGGATCGCTACTTTTAGTATATTTTTTATGGCAAAAGTTTTTTAATTTATTTTTATTTATAATTTCGATATTATACCAAGGTGGATAGTCACGTGTACGTTTTTTATACAGTGGAACAAACAAATCAAAAAGAGAATTCCATATAAATACCAAAAAAGAGGCATTTTTATTTATCTTCATTTCGTAACTGGTGACATAATTAACTTTTCGTAATCATTTTCATAATGTTCTGCTTTATGCAACTGGTTGCATAAAGTAGATCGTTTTGACACTTGCTGCGACTACAAAATGTCACTTTGTATGTCAAAATTAGAAAAAATTATAAATAAAATCATATTCCTTGCCAAAAATAATAACCCTCTACCAAATTCGTCAATATTTTATACATAGATTGTGAAATTATTATGACCCCACTGGGCGTGACTTAAATGGTAGTCTAAACAGGGTCGTATTTAGTTTTAATTAAAGTCGTCTGTGTCGGATTACAACTTTTAAATAAGTTATATACCTAAGATAGATTTGTTTCAACATAACCAATCCGAAATTAATCCAATTTATTGCGCAAATGTGACTTCTACATTATTTGTTGACCCTTTTCAACTGAATTAGATTAGATAAATGTTGTCAAGACCACACAAGACATGAATTGTTCTATATAGCTATATAGAACTTACATATGAAACATCGCTAAAGTGATATGACTCAAAATGTAAATTTAGGGGTTTCAAGGAATGCTTTTTACAATGACGTAACCAAAAATAAAAAAATAACTATAGGTTTTTTTTAAATCGTCGTTTTGAATCCGTCTGAAACATACGCTACGCTACTGACATATATCAAGTGTTAATAAGTATAAATACTATTCACAGTGACTACCTTTTATATCACTAAAATTTTAAATTTAAAGACCAACTAATAATTATACAGGGGTGTTGCAGCCGTGAGTGAATCACACTGTATTTACAAAGATTGTTTTCAATTTAAATTAACAATGGTTAAGATTTCTTCTTTAATTGGCCATTAGAAATTTAAATTTAAATAAAAGTTACACATTTTTTTTTGAAATGTTAAATTGTGGCAACAATCCTCTTAAGTCAGAGCAAGCAAGGGTATTTTGCCAAAAAAGGTAAAATTAAAAAAAAAAGTAAAGCAAATTTTAATTTTTAATCGATAGAAGGTCAACGTCAGCAAACATGGATCATTAAGATTCTGGAGAATTGATATATTTGTATTCTGACCTTGACTGCTCAAGTATTTTATAAGGACCCGAATCAAAAAATTACGAGGCTTATTGAATAAGTAAGTAGGTATCTATGATTTGGTTGAGATTGGCTGATGATAATCGTACTAAATTCAATTTTTAATAAAATTATTTTAATGAGAAGAAGATTTTGTTTCAAAGTGAGGTAATCATTATTCTGTATACATTTATTTTTGTTAAGGTAAATTAACGTACAGGGCGTTTCAAATTGAGGCAAATTGCTGAATATTACAACAAATTTGAAAATATTACAAATAAGGATTAAAGTGTCAAACTTGTTTATGTTAACGGTTATAATCTGTGTTGGATTTGTAGTTTATCATAAGTTGAACCCAACTCAAATTTTGAATACGCCCCTAAGGCTCGCTTACCAAGTGGACTGTCTTCTTTCGGTGCTAGCTGTAAATATTTTCATATGGATAATGAAATTTCAGCAACTTCATAAAAAAACAATTAATTCTGCAAAATGTTGCACAACAATTTGTAAATTTTACATTTTACCCTTTATTTACAAACACCTAGAGGCCTAACACTGCCTTAGGGTTAACATTACTTGATGGTACCATCTGACATACACTTACACTATCATCGAAACGGTAACGCGTGGCGATTTTTATAATCTGGATGTCATTTAAACAGAAATTTCTGCTAATATTGCATCCATCAAATACTATAGAGAACCATGCAAATACATTTACATGGTCTTCTGTAGAATTCAAATCCGGTGTGTATCTGAACCACGAAATTGCTCGCAAATGAATGCGAGCGCGTTAGACACTACGTCACAGATTCTATACACATTATAGAATATATATAACGTTTTATTCGTTTAATAGACTGATATGTAGTTACATATAATATATGTATACTGTAATTTCTGTAAAAA